TTGTTGAATTTGGAACAACGGCAATCAAAAATAGGTTGGGGAATTCCTTCTTTAGGATGACGTTTTCTAACCAGTTGTCCTTCCAAAAGCTAATGAAAGCTCCATTCCCCACTCTGAAACTTGTACGTTGATTGAATTCTCTCCATAAATTGCAAATACTTTTCCAAAGGCCTACTCCATGTGGTGATTTGTGTACCAGTGATTTAGCTCACCTCATTTTACTCTGATTACATCCTTCCAAAGTCCAGGTTCCTCTGAGCTGTACCTCCATAGCCATTTCATTAGCATGCATTTGTTGTGATTCTTGTGAATTTCTAAAAAAATTATGCCTAAACCACCTTGACGTTTAGGTTGAGTGAGTGAATTCCACTTTACCAGGTGAAACTTGTGGCTCTGGCTGTTGCATTCTCGTAAAACTGTCTTGATTTTATCAAGATATTCAGAACCTTGCCTGGAATGGGAATAAAGACATAAAATATGTAATTAACCCATCAAAAACATTGTTGATTACTGTTAAACCGTCTCCCATTGATAAGTATTGCATTTTCCAGGTTGCCAATCTTCTTTCAAACCTTTCAGTAACTCCATTCCGGATCTCAGCTGATCTCAGTTTTGCATCAAGCGGCAATCCCAGGTAGGTTGTAGGAAATGCCCCAATGTTGTAGCACATTGTTTCAGCTAGTTCTTCCAAATTGGAGACATTGTTGACTGGATAGAAGGTACTTGCCAGCATATTGATGTGTAATCCACAATGGCTTCAACGAGCAGCAGTGTGAGATTGAGATTTAGCACCTGGTGCCTATCTGTCCTTCAAAGCGTATCATCTGCATACAACAAGTGTGAGACTGATATTGAGTCGCTAGGATTGTGACCCACCTTGAAGCCTTCTATCCACTTCAATTGCCTCGCTTTTTTGTAGTATTTTGCTAAGTCCCTCTATAGCCAAAATGAAAAGGAAGGGAGATAGAGGGTCTCCCTGTCTAAGAGCCTTTTGAGGAGAGAAAAAACCCACAGGACCCCTATTGGCCAAAACTGAATGTTTTACTTAATTATGCTGAATTTTATCCATTTTATCCACTTCTCACCAAATCCCATCTGTCGGAGGACTGTTATAAGCTAGGTCCAGTTTATCTTATCAAAGGTTTTCTCAATGTCATAGGCTAGCTATGGCTCGAGTAACTTTTTATCATAATTTTGGACCGACTGTTAAATTGTTTGTTTAGATTTCTTTTCTTTTCTTAGACTTTCAGTGCAAAATTGAGTCTAAATTCAGTGGGACAAATTATAAAATTATGGCAATGGTGTTAAATTGATGATATGGTATGTTGTTGCCTCTGACCCTAATCCGTGTGTCTTTTGGTTTCCAGGCATCAAGATCAAATAAGCTTGTAGTTTCGAATTCTTCAAACAAGAAACGTAAGGTGTTAAACTGGCAAGAACGCAAAAAGCTCAAGAGAGAGAAGAAGCAGATTGAAGAGGACCAGAAAACTCTAGTTAACTTAGAGTCAGCAATTCCTGAGACCAACATTGGATTCAAGATGTTGAAACAAATGGGATATACTCCTGGATCAGCATTAGGCAAGGAAGGCTCGGGTATGTCTGAACCCGTGGGGCTGGAAATCAGAAGGGGCCGTGCCGGGATTGGGAAGGAAGATGATAAGGTAGAGAAGATGAGGAGGGAAATGGAGAAGGCCGACAGGGATAGAAGGAGAGAAGCAGAGCTAATGGAAACTTTTGGATCTCACCTGAAGGAGCGATGGAAGGAAAAGAGGATCGTCAGCAATTTTCACAAGGCTGAGGCAGTACTGGCTCAGTTAGAGAATAGGGAGGTAGTAGAGGAGAAAAAGGAAGAAGAGGATGAAGAAAAGGAAGAGGAAGAGGAAGAACTGATCACTGAAGAGGTATTGTATTCTGTATCATTTTCGAATGATTTCTTAAATAAGCAATTAAGATTTAAGCAAAATTCTAAGTTGGAAACTAGCATCTAGTTCCCTTTTGCTTTTAACCCATTTTATGCAAAAACTGAGTTGGCTTAGGTTTGCTTTGCAAAACGATTCTAGGACGGTTAGTGATTAGCAATACCAGATGCGTAGTTTCCTGGTGGCTGACTTCTTATATATCGTATGTAATACTTATGGCTTATAGATGTCAAATCTCTCCTGTAAGTCATTTGTTTTGATTTTTATGATATACTTATGATCCACGTTTGTCTTGAGTGGATGCTCTTTTCTGGAAGCAAATGTAAAACTGCCTGCTCTTGATTTTCTTATTTTATTTTTGACTTCCCAATAAGTGCATATGATTCTTCCTAATGGTGCTTTTTTTGGCTTTCTTTGAGTATGGTATGTTTGCATTGCCATTCTTAATTAAGGTTACTTTCTTATTTAGCTCGCTGCTTGAAATGCTTGTGTTCTCGTTTAACCTGGTACTAATTTTGGGTACTGCTTCACTTTTGTCAATGCAGGATTTGCTCAATACATTGATGAAACTGAGAGATGAATATCATTACTGTCTTTTTTGTGGATGTCAGGTTAGTAGATGATTATCTTAGATAAATAGTAGCGATTTATTTTCCCAACTTTAATTATGGTTCAAAACCCAAATTTAGTCTTGAACTGGTGTGGTGAGATTGATATTGAAGATAAGAATTGTGTTGTCACGAACTTCTTAGCTCTTTATGTCTCCAGCCATAAAATGTCTTGACATCAAGATGTGCGAGCTAGTGCAGTCCAGAAGATAACAGCCCCTTGATTTTGGGGTAAGGGTTCAAGATTTGTTGAGAACATTAGGTGGTGAAATTAATGAGTTTAGCAAATTAAACCAAAGGAGAGGTAAATAAATGCTTGGCTACTATAACGACTAATTATCCATCTAATGGATACATCCTTGTCTATCTGTTAGAGATTAGAGATTGTGCGTTGCAGACTCTGGAATTTCCAACGTTCTACTCAGTGGTATCACGTAAGGGGGAGTGGAAAGGAAACAGGCTATAGCCCGCACATTTTTCCTTGAAGAGAATGGCTCTAATCAACTAAATTCGAAACTTAATCTTGGCTACTTTAATTACTGATTCTCCATCTCCTTGGGTAATTTTTTGTCTATCTATTAGAGATAAGAGAGATTATGTGTTGAAATGTCACCGTTACATATCAATTAAATTTGAGAGGTAATGTGTTGGACTCTCTCGGATTTCCAGTTTCTAGTTAGAGGTATCATGTAAGGGGAGTGGAAAGTAAACATGGAATAGCGCACACATTTTTCCACGAAGATAAAGGCCCTCGTCATATCTGTATCTTATTGCTAATATTCTTTTTCTTTTTGCAGTATGAGTCAACCGAGGCGCTGCTGTCTAACTGCCCCGGGGTAGCTGAGGAGGACCACTAAATGCCATCTCCCAATTGGCCTCAGCAGCAAGACCTCAAAAAGAAATTTAAAACCCTCCTAAACATATGGAAAATTCCAGGGATGATAGGAGCAACATCCATTGCCCTAATCATGCATCTCGGCAAATAAGAGCTCAGAATGACAATTGTTTTCGCACTTGACTGATTCCTTTCAGGCAAATGTGGATTCTCAAGAGATAGAAAGCAGAATCCTCAGACAACATTGGTGCATCTCCCATTGCATGGAATTGCATTTGTTGAGCCAGGAGCCTTTATAGCATGCTATGGATGGCAGCTGGATATCAAGATGAGTGTTCATGTAATACATAGCTGTTGATTGAAGTTGTAGCTATTCTTCATATATTGATTCCCTTGTAATGTTAGCACTGTCATATTCGATTGCTCCAAAGGTCGTATAAGCTTCCCATAACTTTTTCTTTTGTTGTACACCACACACTATCTTGTCTGTTCAGCAGCGGTCTCCGCGTCAGCTGGGGTGATCCTGGACTCATTGCCAGGATGGGGCTGTTAAAAAAATTGAGTGTACAAAAATATGAAGAGAGTATTATTGCTCATATTCCAATTGGATTTGACCAACTCGAGTTTGAACAATGTATCATTGTGTACCTCACTTATTCTGGCTCTTTGGTTTAGGATGGATCTGGACTGAACTGCTCATAGTATAAATATAATGATTAGTCAATGTAAACTAAGATAAGTATTGACTTTTTTTTTAAAATAAAAAATAGAGAAGTATTGAATTGTCAAGCCCGGCCAAAAAGTTGACTTGTAAGTTGCAAGTAATGAACTTGGCCTTCTTGATGTGTTAACCATCTGTCAAATGAGGCTCAGGCTTAATTTGAAGTATCTCAATGGTGTAACGCCGTCAACTACTTAGGAGAAAATGTGGAAGCTGACTTTAATCTCTTGTTTTGGAGTGAAAAACAGCTCATGAAAAAAGAAAAGGAGCATATTATATTTAATCTCGACGTTCCTTTAATCCATAGTTTAGAAAAATGCAGCAACAAGGGACAAGAAGCCCACACAGGCAGCAAGGTGCATGGCACTACTAAGACCATTGGTGAAACCGCTGCTGGCGAGAAGCCTCGTAGGCCTGCATGGGGGAGCATACCATAGTGAAGAATGTAAATCTGAACAATGGAAGAGCTTGAGCAAAATAAAAAATAAAAAAATTGATAACGTCATAAGAAAACACCTTAACAAGTTCACCTACTAGCGCCTAAAGGGCGGCGGTCCAGTGCACAAATCATCCTGCCGTCATGCAAAATTCAGAAAAGGGCCGCACCCCTAGGAGTGTAATGTAGACAACCTACCCTGATACAAGCATTACTGGCTGCTTTCACGGCTCAAACCTATGACCTATTAGTTACACAGAGACAACTTTACCATTGGTCCAAGGTTACCATCGCCTAAACATCTTAATCAATTCTAGTTCGAACTATCTACATATCATCTTACCACCCCATTGCATGGGAATATCTCTGCTCTTAGTAAGATGGACACTGCTCTTCCTCGATGTGTATATCAAGAAAGGGACAGTGGAAGAAAACACCAAGCTGCTTTAAAAAGAAATGCAAAGTACACGGCAGCAACAAGAAGTTAAACGGTACACACAATTCATAAAATAACCACATTGGAAGTCATTATTGATAAACTCTGGGAGAGTTGCACAAAGGCAGCATCATAAAAAGCGCCATTAGTCAACATACAGACTTACAAACACGATGCCATTTATTGAACAAAAGTCTTCCAACGACAATGATAGTTAGATATGAAGGAGATGACACTCAAAGTGTCCAGTGCACATTCTGAACAGAAGAATCGTAACCCTTTGAGTGCTCCAGTTCCATGTACTGTCTTCCACTGTGCTGAGCCATCCCAAGCTCAGCAGAGTACTGATTGACAGCAAGTTGAGAAATGTGACCCAGCCCGAGATCAGGAGGTATTGCATGTGAACTGCTACTAGCTTCATTTCCTTTAAATCCCCATTGAGGGCCTGAGTAGTGATTGACAGGAGCAGCATGGGAACCCGATGGCTGAACGGTATGTCCGCCATCAGTGTTAACCAAGTCGTTAACCCCGAGGCTAGAGGATTGGTTCCTCGAGCCCCACGACTCATTTGACAGAAGAGAGAGAGCACCACTGGAATCTGAGACTCCAGAGAAGCAGTTTCCGGAAGGAATAATACCAGGACCAGAATAATTGGCACCCCTAGCAACTGAACCTTGCAGAACAAGGTCGGATGTAGGATTTTCAGAACTGTTCAGCCAATGACTTTGGAGAAGCTTCCCTGATGCAGTGGATTGATTATCCCATCCCCGCTCAGATGATCTAGTATTTGGCCATGCACCTCCAGTGAGATTCGGATATGCAGTGAAGTCGACCAGAAAACTTCCAGATCTGCCATTGTTTTCTGCAAGTGCAGATGTTAAAACAACTATGGTAAGCATGAAGTAACAGAGCCAAAGAAATGCTTAAGCTCCATGAAGTCTTAATGCAAGGAGCACCCTTACCAAATATTGATGAAGAAAGACTTCCATAGCGATTAGACAAAAGAGATCCAGGTGGAGGTTTCCTGCGACGCTCATTATGGCCTGCTAGGCGCCTGCGGCAACTGCGTTTCCCTTGGTCAAATTCTGGCAACCGATGGAACCTGGAAGCAAAGTACCAACCATTAATTCCAGGCAAAGAGAAGCAACTGATCAAAGATATTGTTAGCCAATTACAAACTAGCATTTTCCATTATTATTAAACAACATACTGATATTTAAAATCCACCTTATTTGCAATAAATCATTCAGCAAACCATTTAAATTTTGGGAAACACAGCTTAGCTATGGCATCCCCTTAACCCCTCAGACAAATAAAATAAGGTTCGATCACTGCAATACGGATAAAGAGCCAAATGTAATTAACGATGGACACCTTGGAAGCACTTCTGTTATCATACCATCATGTAAAAGTAGTTATATTATATGGTTAGACATGTCAAAAATAATGCTGAGGTTAGCCCTCGCTCTTGGTGGTTTCTAACATTTTTTGTTTTTCAAGCCACTTTATTATTGTAGTTAGATCAACAATTCAAGCGCTCTTGATCACATAAGATTTAACCAAAACCTGAACAAGCATTTGTTACTTTCCGAGATCTATTGATGATAATAATGAGCTTAACAATACAAATAGCAACGAAACTAAAGAATTTAACAAAAGCAAGAAGCCAAAAAGGAGTTATAAATGACATATAGGGTGTGTGTGGTACGAAGGGAAATGTTTTCCTAGAAAATGTTTTCCTGAAAAATGAATGGTTTTATCACTATTTTCCCATGTTTGGTTGGTGAGTGAAAAGTTTTTTTCGAAAAATATTTTCTAGTGTTTGTTTAGAGAGCAGAAAATAATTTTTAGAAAAATAATTTTTTATGCTACTTTCCTTGCCCCCTTCCCCCAAATCCCCATGTTTTCTGCGCTCCCCTTCCCCCCCCCCCCCGGGGAAAATACTCATTTGATTGAAATGAAAGAAAATACTTTTTACTATATCATTTTGTTGAAATGAAAGAAATTACTTTTTACTACGTCATTTTGTTGAAATGAAAGAAAATACTTTTTTTACATCATGAAAAGAAAGTAATTTTTTTGTTGAAATGAAAGAAGATATTTTTTACTACATCATTTTGTCGAAATAAAAAAAAATACTTTGACATCATGAAAAGAAAAGAAAGTACTTTTTTGATGAAATAAAAGAAGATACTTTTTACTACATTATTTTGTTGAAATGAAAGAAAATACTTTTTCTATNATAGGTGGGGGATGAGTGGGAATGGGGAATATGATGAGAAATGTTAAAAAAGAGTTTTGAAAAATGTTTTACATTATAGGGAAACATTTTTCAAAATATTTAAGCCAAACAGGAAGAACTAATCATAAAACCACGAATTCGTGGTCAGGATTCTTTAATTAGTCCAATAGGAAGAACTAATCATAAAACCAAAAGCGCAACATCGAAAGGTCAGTTTAATACAGAAGTGAAAAGATCATTATACTTGCCTATATTGATCTTCAAATATTGTTTCCCTTCTTTTTTTCCCCCATGGAATACAAGGTTCTTTTCTAGTGAACGAAATGCTTCTATTATGATTTGGAATCTATAGCTTCAACCTTCTCTACAAGTACATCTAATCAAAAAGGTATGGAAGTTGTTGACCTACACAACTTCACCTAGTAATAAGGAACTAAAGAACTGCTAAAGTTGTTCAAAATCAGCGGAAGTCACCAGGCTTTCCAATTTTGATGTCCTGTGCAACTAAGAATTCAGTAATTGCATTCTTCTGCCATCCCTTGAAACTCCTGCAACAGCATTCAAGTATAACAAAATTATGTTACTCTAGTCAAAAAAAAAGGAGAAAAACAATGAACGCTTTACGATATCTACTGAGATAAACAATGAAAATGCTGTTAGCGCCATTTGGCCCACCCTGTCCATCCCAAGGTCAACACTTTCTCTCCATTTAGTCGAATGATACAATTTTAATTTTATGGATGAATATCAAGTAAACCATTTGGAACTGAATCTAGCTAAGCAAAGAATATTTTACTGCCTTCACACTTCTTTTCCGTCCGCTCTTCCCGAAGTGAGCGGATTGCATTATCCATAGGGGCTTATAGTTTAATTGGTTGAAATGTACCACTAATAACGGTATTATTGTAGGTTCGAGCCCCACTAAGCCTACAAAAGCACTACCTTGGCCATGCAACCCAAAAAGATAGAAAGACGGCTCGCTTGAAGAAAACACTTTCAGAGCCTGATACCTGCCAAACCCCCTCAACTCGGTAACAAGAGTCAGTTATGGAATAGCCTTTTAATCAGCTTTCCCGTTCTTAAGGATTCTTTGGCTTCCGGCGCACGAAGCAAATGGGCGTTGTGCTGGGGTAAGTTTTGGGGTGGGGTGCGAAGAGACTGAAAAATTGGTCCGAGGAGATCGATTTCAACTGAGTCATCGAAGAAGTAGAAGAAGAGACTGTATTTTCAGCTGGATAGGGTTGGGGGGCATTGGGGGCAATCTCCCCTTAGCTTGATGATGGAACCATTATTGGATGGATGGACGGGGGTCTCTATGATCCTGAAAAAGGACTCTAGGGAAAGATTCTATTGTTCTTTCCATATAACAAATCATTAGAAAAGCTTACAATCTTCTGTTATCTTCAAGGTTAAGACAAAGAAAAACTAGATTTAAATATCAATACGTAGAGAAGAACAAAGTCTAGTTAACAGTGAAAATGAAGTGTATGCAAATATGCATTACATTCTAGAAAAGTGCAGGCTCTTCCATACTAAGATCATCTTCTCGTTGTCTATCATGTAGCATTCTGTATCAATTTATTCAAATTGATAGTCGTCCACAATAAAGAGAATGAAGGTGGACAACTTGAAAAAGTTAAACTTACTGAGATGGTCACCCTTTGATGTAAAACAACTTTTCACCATCTAGTGATACTTGTGATATATCTAATTGGAAATTGGCATCTTCTTTTCATAGTCTAGAACCAAAAGTCAAACTTTTCTTTCAAATGAACTTACTTCTGATCAAGATGTGCCAGAATTTCTCCACCAGGAAAACCTGCTTTGGTAGCATCATATGCTGCTCTAATTGAGTCTCTCCAAGTCCCGGCAATATCTTGCGTGCTAACCTTACCTTTTGATGGACCAGGATCTTCCATTGGCAAGGAGTAACCAGAGAGAAGTTGGCCGACCCAACAACCATCCTTCCTGTGAGCGAACGAAGACAAATTTAACAAAACGTGTGCTGGAATATAGCTTCAGTTTCATTATGTAACAATTTGGATTACTTCATGAAGTTGATGTAAATAAAGCTAAAGAATCTGTAATTTCCAAAGAGCAGCTGAAACAAGTCAAGCAGTTATATTCTAAGTTGCTCCGACATGGCAGTTTAGGTGCCGCACCCGTGTCACGACACGACACTAGTATGGGTGTGGGTATAGGATCCGTACCGGATCTGGTCAAACAATTTTGGGTACTTTGACCACGACAGGCGGAAAAATTCAAGACGAGATACATTTGATTCCCGAAATCAGAACCAAAACAAGGGTAAATTTGAAGAAAATAACATACTTTATCTAGGAAATCAATCCTTTACTTGTCTACAACTTGAGAATAAAAAAGAAATCCACACTTAACAAGCTATACGTAAGTATTCCACAAAATTTTTCATAATTAAGAGATATTTTATTTTATTGAATTATTTTTAGCCGGATCCCCGCACCCGTATCCATACTAGGATCCGTATCGTCGGATCCGACCTCTAGATCCGCACCGTGTCGAACACCTGCACCTGTGTCCGAGCAACTTAGGTTATATTATATTATATTATCTGCTCGATAGATAAATTGAAAAGCAAAGTAAAAAGATGCAGCGAAAGAAACCTTTTACAGTTTAACTACGTCAAAGTTAGAAATGCAAATGATCATACATATTCCGTAGGTACAAAACATACTAGATTATCTTAACCAAGCAACTGAAAAGGAGAGGAAAGAAATAATTCAGTAACCAAATTACTTACTTTATCACATCCATATGTCGTGGCACATAATGTCCTCCACCAATCCCTAGAAGGACTTTGTTATTTGCAGATGCACTGGAAGACAATGGAATGACTTGTCAATTCAAAAGCATTCTGAGAACATCTATTACAGAGAAATTAAATTAACAGCTAGAAATAAAATAATCATCACTTCAGGCTAGTCTATGTAGCTAATCTCGAACAGTTAATAAGGTGCAAAAGCTGTGGACACGAAAACCATAGGACTGACAGAACAGAGATGAACAGAGGCTGTGTTTCAAAGTCAAAACCAGGAAATACAAAAGTTAGTTAGCCTCTTTATTTTCATGCTGGTCACGGTAGACCATTTTACAGTTGAAAAAGAAGGCCTTCTCATGCTCCATATATGAGATCATATTCTGCTCCCTTGCAGCCTCATTAACAACATTTGGCCTATTGCTGACCACTGCCAATGTTGTAAAGAAAAGAACAACTGCAGAAAGCTTGTGGAAGTTACGGGAGAATGAAATACAAGGTCTTAAAGAAACCGGCAGCTTCAGAAGCAAATATCTACACAGACACTCTGAAGATGAGGATCTAAATTCCAGCAAAGAAACTTAAGTGGGACTGCTAGTGGGTGTTGTCTCAGACGGTGTTGATTGTTAGTTGTTACATATTTTGCAAGGCTGCAGTTCCACAACAGAATCTATTTGCGGCCAACTTAATAACTGAAATGAAATAAGAATGTTGGTTAAAAATTGGAAATATTGTTCAAGGGCAATGAGAGCAGCCTGGCAGCTTTGGGAGCATGTTGACGGGGAACAGAAGGCTATAAGTTGCAAGGAAAGAACAATATTGCAACAAATTATGAAATAAATAAAAAGCTCTGCCTGTAAAACCAATGCTAACAATAGTAAAAGTAACTTAAGGAAGAACGCCGGTTTGCAACATAAATGTGTCCCCTAAACTTTACTATTGCTTTACTCAATTTCTTTTCTTTGTCGGGAGGTGGGGTATGGGTTAGGACCTTTTTTTTATAATTTATATGGGTTAGGACCTTGTCGATACACACAATTATTCTAGCAATTTACTTCTTCAGATAGAAGAGTATATTCAGGCAAAAGAAAATGAGAAAAGAAGAACCTAGGATATTTGAGGGATATAGGGGAACAACTTGCAGATGTAAACAGTACCTGTTCCAGTTTCCAACTGGAGGACCACCTCCAAGTCCAAGTCCTTCCCAGACTAACTGCAATTACACTATATATTTGTTAGAGAACATCAAAACACGTAAATAGTTCTGTTTTTGGATGGACCAGACAGGTAATGTAGGAGAACTAAATAAATAAAAGGAAGTCCTTGGCAGACTAACTAAAGTTACAAATATAAGACTTTCGAGTATCGACATTCCTGACCAATAAAGCAGCCAATAACAAAGTACAACTTACTAGAGCAACAACACGAGCAGCATCCTGCCGCTTCCAGTACTCCTCAGTGCTACCTAGCTCAAGCAAGTAATCAGTTTCACAAAACACATAGCTGATCACGTAAGCGATGGAGTAAAGTTGTGCTCTTGTTGAAGCAGAGCAAAGAGATAAATAAGAGAGAAGAACAGGACAAAATAACTATATAGACTCAGCATCCAGTCGTGCACAAAATTAATGGCATCCCACCCCCCACCTCCAACCCAAAAAAAAAAAAAAAAAAAAAAAAAAAAGAAGAGGAAAAGGAAAAAGAAAAAGGAAACAACAAGAGTCACCTAATGAAGAAATAGGGTAAAAGTAAACAGAGAGAAATCTAAAAATGAGTTAGTCTATGTCAGCCTATGTGTATAAAGAGGGTACCCTCTTAGAAACAAGAAA